TGTTTTGACTAAAATGAGCCAGCTTTTGCATTATTTTGAGAAAAGCAACAAAAAGTTGCATTCATTTCAAATCTTCAGTAATTGCTTCGTCGAGGCTTTATCAGAAGATAAGCTTAACACCCCTGAAGAAAACACAAAAAACATCATTTCGATTTTGGATCACTAAAGAAAACAATTACTGTGGTAGGATCTCTGTACCATTATTACAGTGCACTGTTTTTCTTTTTATTCCGACAGCTTCCGAAGTGAGGAGGAACCATGGCGTATCTTGCGTCTTTTCCTGGGGTTCAGTCGATTGTCGTTTCTCTTAAAAACTTTTTAGCATGATTCGGATTTGGCCAAAACAATTGAAAAAAAAATTGTTTCAGCGTAGAGAACAATTGGTCGGAATTGGTCCTTTTCTCAGACTAAAATAACGAACTCCGCAAAAAAAAAAACGCTCAGTGAATGAACAATTCATCTAATTTTTCTGCATTTGTTTGTAATTTAATTCTTTTATTTTTCTGAAAAAAAAACAGAAGAAAGTTTTCTCAAAAAAAATTTAAAAAAAAAAACAGAAAAACTTAATGAAATGTAGAATTTTTCTCTTTTTTGAGTTACAATGACTTTTGTGGTCAAAACTTGCTGCGGTTCTCGCACACCAACTGATTACAGTCGTTTCCTTCATCTTTTTTTTTATTTGTTGAACTTTAAATGTCCAGTTTCTAAAATCAAGTCTTTCTCTCCATTTTCCTTTCTATTGTGATGGTGCTTAACAATATGAGAGAGAGGGGACACTTTATTGTTTCAATATACTTATGCAGTTGCAGAACTGATTGTATAAGAATCTAGTGTACAATAATACGCAATGGTTATATAACATAACAAGAAAAAACATAAATTACTACGATGACAAATCAAATAATTGATTTAACAAAATAAATGTCCTTGGATGCGGAAAGACTCTCCTTATTGGGTAACAGGGTGTCATCTTTTCCTATGATGAAATTTTTAATCAGAGTTTTTGTCAATGTGTACGGTAGTTTTCGATTAAACAAGGTTCGGATTATTGTGTTAAGGTTCCTGATTGATGTAAATAAGAAAGACTTACGAAGGAAATCAGTTGTACATGTTAAAGGGAACAGTAATGTTCCAGTTCGATGGTTATAGCGGAATTCAGAATTTGGGAATCTTATATGCGTGAAAGCTGGGGCATCGTTTCGGCATAACCTGTGAAGGTAGTGTGCTGATCGGTACTCGATTATATTCCGAGCAGTAGGAATTTTGTGCTGTTTCCTTAGAAGTGTAACGGAATCTCGTTTGCTTATATTCATTATTATCCTGATTCCCCATTTTATTTGTTTTTCGAGTTTCTCAATATTATCTTGCGTACATCCGTTTAAAAGCATGCATGGATAGTGCAAATGGCTCAGTACAAGAGTATTTAACAGGAGAATTCTAGTACGCAGAGGGATTTCATCACGGATGCATTTTATCGTTTGGATTGCTGTAGCCATTTTTTGTAAAATTTTGTTGATTTCTTTGTCGAATGTTAAGCTTATGTCAATATTGACGCCGAGAAATTTAACTGTCTCTGTTAAATTAACTTGATAGTTTCCAACTTTCAATGAAAGATTGTCAGTTAGTTTCTTTTTCGACGGTGCAGAAAATACAATGAACTGGGTTTTGTCTACATCAATCATTAATCGATTTAAGTGAAAATACAAGAGAACTTTATTGAAATTGTTTTCAATGCTCTTTGTTGCTGTTTCGGGATCTGAATGAAAACTAAGCAGAGTCGTGTCGTCGGCATATTGTACTAACGTACATGATTTGTCTATTGTTTGTGGCAAGTCATTTACATACAAGTTGAACAGCAGTGGTCCTAGTACAGTACCTTGGGGAACACCTTGCTCTAATTTAAGCCAATCTGAGTGTTCGCCGTTTACTATTGTCAATTGCTGTCTGTTTTCTAGAAATGACTTAATAAGAGTTGTTGCTGACTGTTCAAAGCCAATGTGACTTAGTTTCCTTTCAAGGACTGAATGAGAGAGTGAATCAAATGCTTTAGATAAATCAAGAAATGCAGCCGCTGCTATGTCATTTTTATCGAGATGGAATCTGATTTTTTCTGTTGTGTATAAAAGAGCATAATTAGTTGAATAACCTGGACGAAAGCCAAATTGTTTTGGATTTAGAATATTGGAATTTGCTAAGAATTCGTGAATTTGGGATGAAAAAATTTTTTCAAACAACTTCGATAGAGTGAGTGTAATAGAAATTGGACGATAATTTACTGGATCTGTCGAGTCGCCTTTTTTGAATATGGAAAAAACGCGTGCTTTTTTAAAGGTATATGGGAATACGGATTTCGAGATGCATTCATTGATAATCATCGTAACAATTGGGTTTACAGTATTAATGCTGTCTTTTAGAGCCCAAGCAGGGATTTTGCTTGGTCCTAATGGCTTGTTTAAGGGAAGTAATAAAATTGCATCTTTCATTTCTTTGTGAGTTATGAACCTGAATTGAAAGTGCCTATTTGTTTTGCTGTGTACACTGTACTCAGTTGGTACATCTATGGGAGAATCTGCGTTTTTGTATTCTCCTAATGTTGAGAACCTGTAGTTAAGGAAATTTGCTTTCTTCATATTTTCAATTATAGTGTCGCCAAACGAATTCCGTAGATCACCTATTTGCGTTGACTGTTTCATGGTGTTCCTGATAGAGTTTATGAAATTCCATTGTTTTTTTGGACAGTCAAGCATTTTGGATTGGGCTGTTTTCTCTTTCTTGTATAAATGTTTTAGATGTTTGTTGTATTTATTTCTTATTCGCTTATAGTTTTTAAAATTTGCATCTGTTCTTGATAATTGATATGCCTTTAGAAGATTTTCTTTTTCCTGTTTTAAAGGTCTATTGACTGAGTTAAGTACTTTACCAGACAGCTGTAGCTGCGGTTTATTTCGTATATACTTCTGCTCTAGGGGTGCGTGAGCGCTTAGGGCATGCGAGAAAATATCTTCAAATTTTATTAACATTTTAGAGACATCGTTTTCTTGGTAGACGAGAAACCATGGACTCTGTTTAAGTTCCTCGCAGAACATATTTTTACAATAATTGGTTTTGTTGAAGCGAAAAGTTCGAATTGGAATGGCTTTTTCTAATCGTTTTAGTTTGCTAATACAAATTGTTATTAAATGGTCCGTGTTTATAGGTGGTTCTGCTACAATAGTTTCTTTGCAAAGAGATTTGGTTGCTATAATGTTATCTAAAATGGATTGGCTGTTTTTAGAGTTGTATGTCGGTATCGACTTATTTGTTATTGACAAATTGTATGGTTTAATAGAATCGCCGAGAAATTTAGCTTCATGTTTATTCAAGTAGTTAATATTGAAATCTCCCAAAATCGTAACATCTCGCGCTTCGGAGGTAGCGTAATCGATACCCTTTAGTGTATCTTCTATAAAAAAATTCCTTGAATTGTTTGTGTGGATTGTAGGCAATAGCAATTATCTGTCTTTTTGATTTTTTTGAGATGATTGGGCTATATTCCACCCAAAGTCCTTCAAAATGGAAGGGACGTAGATAATTTAAATCTTCTCGAATCTTAGGGTTACATTTTTTCGGAATAAGAAGAAGAGTACCACCACCTGCGTGTTGACCAGTGCATTTTTTGTTACGGTCGCATCTAAAAATTTCGTGGGTTGTTTTGCAGAATGAATAAGTTTGATGATCGCATGTTTCGTCCAGCCAGGTTTCCGTAAGACCGATAATTATGTTTGAGTCAAATATTATGACAAGAAACGCATTTCCATTTGTTTGTTTTTTTATGCTTCTACAATTTAGAGTTATATATTTGAGGAAGTTGTGGTGTTCCTTTGCTTTGTTTGCCAGGATTGCTTTGTTTAGCCATTGGCTAAACATAAATTTGATAGATCCAGATCATTGGGCACTAGAACACTAAAACAACATTAGTATGGATAGTATCTATTATGGCGTAAGTCATAATTACTACGATTGGTATTCATATAATTGTAGGTTTGATTGTTGCTGAAACCATGGCTCGCAAGACTCTTTGGGTGCTCGGGGCCCCACGAGACTTGGTTTGAACCAGGTTTCATACGATTCCTCTGAGGGTGCGCTGGGCCCCTAGAGTTGGAAGTATTCGGAGAAACAACTCGAGGTGATAAGCTGGATAATGGTAGCACCTTTTCCATGATTGCATTTTTTAAAGTACTAACAGAACGCATCAAGTATACTTCATCAAAGAAGATTGACTGATAGTCGTTTATGCTGACAATTTTATCGTATATAGGAACAATTTGATACTTTTTTTTCTTAAATTTATGAGCAATAAGGCTGTTGAATTCAGTTATACGTTTACCACTTACAGAATTGGGTCCCAATTTCACAGGCGGGACTTTGGCATATATTGATTATTGCAGGTGAAAACTTTGTTTCAATTTCACTAATGGTGGCGCAAAAAGTTTCAAATATATCATCTACAGGTTTATGTAGTTCCCTTGTGAGGGAATTGGTGCCGTCCTGGAAGGTTACTGATTTCAGCTCAGTATCGTTGTACTTTTTCACAACTGATTGTTTCTCGCTGCAAAATGACCCGCGGTAAGAATGAACGGCCACGTCTTTGGGCAGCTCCTTCGTGTCAAACTCCGCTAAAAAACTCGAACCAATAATCAAGTTTTGAGTATCAGTGGGGATTACTTTGGCAGCAAAATCGATAGGTGCTCTGAGTCCTTTTGCGTTTTGATTACTGTTTGGAGGATTACTGGATGTTGCTAGTACATTGACAAGGTTATATATTTGAACGTAGTACTTATCTTTTTGTTCGGGATTGAGTTTCGTGAAGTCGTCGGGCAGCATCAGAACCATTGGTGTTGACATTGTGTGAAGCCAGGAAAATGCCAGGAATAATGGTGATGTTGGTGTCAATGATAATATGCTGAAGTTAGTAGTCGGTGCCCAAAGAATGGCAACTAGTGTTTCATCACTCTCTGAAACTATTTAATAAGTTTATCACAACAATTAGGCTAATATGATCAAATTTGATCAAATATGACAATATTTTTCCTTTTTTGTAAATGGCTTTCAAAGAAGTCACTCTTTAATATTCTGGACAGTCATTAAGAAAAATAGCTTAAGCAGTTCAGTTGATTCATTATTGATTACATCAAATAGCACCTGTGGAAATGGCGTTTATACTGTTTCATTTGTTTTGATTTTGAATAACTGGTTGATTGATATAGGGTAGGTTGAAAACTGCTGAGAAGTGTCTTGAGATTAACATCGCGCTTGATTTTGATATTCACAATTCGAAAAACGTTTGTTGTTATTTAGAGTAGTTCATTGGATTTGATACCTGTTTTACTACCAGTATTGTTTAACATAGGATCAAGCACGTTTTTAAAAAAGGGTTTAATTAAAATCTATAGGTCTTTTAAGGTCTATGGAGCAACAATAATATGAAAAATTAAAGGAATTAAAAAAATGAAATTTTTATTCTCTAAAATTTGAGATTTTTTGTAAACACGCCATATAAAAATCAAAGTGATAAAGTCCGCTTCTATTAGCAAATATAGTTGCTCCAGCCTTCTGATTATCAAAGTTAAGACATTTCTAATTTGTTTCGCAGAAAAAAACTGCGTTTTCAGGCGATTTTTAGTTGATTTTAGCTGTGAAGAAGGGAGGTGAGTTAAGGCCTCTTTCATTTTTTTTTAATTGTTACGACACGTAACAAAACTTTGAATTCCATTCGAAAATTTGAAAAAAAAAATACAGTTCTGTTCCAGGACCAAAACAGTGATACAAAAACAACAGTACTGTTTTTTTGTGTTTCACTGGGTTTTTCCTGGAACATTACTGAAGACATATATATCACTAGTTTTACTCTGAAACAGTTCTGGTTATTACTGGCAGACCAATCCGGGAAACCATTTGGTGACAAATGAGTGTTTATACTGATTAATGAGGGTTATTTTCAACAAATGAAATCAAGGGAGAACTTTTGAGGGCCGAATGGGGCGAATTTCTGAGAGAGCAGACATCCGCCTTCGGACATCCCCAGAATCAATCCTCCCTCCCCCAAATCAACACCTATGGTTGGTTGACTGCGATATCTTGATTCAAAAACTTGATTCATTTCATTATTGATTAGACCAAGTCGCACCTGTGAACGTGACGTTTTTATTGCTTCTTTTGTTTTGGTTTTAAATAACTGATTCTTAAAGCCGACATTAAAGCAGCTCATTTTTATCAATTTTTAAAATTGGATAAAAGTAGACCTCAATAAATCAAGAAGGGTTATAAAAGCTATTACGCATGAACTCATTAATCAAAATTTGGTAGAAATTGTTTTCTTTTGTTTTGTTTTTATGTTTTATGTTTTATGGTTTGAATTGAAATTTAGCATATTTTAATTGGTCATAAAAAAACAGCCATCTTTTACAAAAAAGGCAAATTTACAAAGAGGACAAACAAAGAGGGTGCCTTTTTCCTAATAAAAAAACCAGTCCTGGGATTTAGGGGAAGGTTTTTATAAAATGAGAGGGCTATTAAAATAGGTTTTAGGTCGTAACCGAGCGGCATCCTTATTAGATATTTACACGTATTCTTGCACGTATTTAGTCGATTTTCATGATACAGCTACTAGATTAAGCAAAAAAAAACAATTAAAATTTACGACGGGCTCCTGGAATTCATTAACCTAACTCAGGTTATACGTTTATTTTGTATTTCTTTTTAGCTCATATGGTGTATTTCTTCCTCCTAAGCGATAAAAAGCTATAAAACTTAAATTAAATTTTTAAAGGCTACAATATGTTGATTTTACGGCTATATTTACAATGAAAACCTATTAATTACCTTCCGAAGTCATGCTCTGAGTTTCTGTATTATAAGTGCATGCTTGAGTACTGCCATCCTCCTATTTTCGGCGGACCGCCCTGAAAATTTAATTTTTTGAAATTTTGACGCAACCTTTTTTTTGTCGGCTTCAATTTTTAAAAAACAATGCAAAGCGTGGCTAAAAAATAAATATTTTGCGTATTTCTGCAAAAAAAATTCCAAATTTCGATAACAAAACGACTCGCCAGGGATTGGAGAATGTCCTAGGCTGTTCAAAAAAAAAGAATTTTTTTTTATATTTAGATACTCGAAATACTCAAGCGAAAACTTGAACTATATTGGAAAACCTTTCAACAGAATAAAAGCTGACGTTGGTGGTGTAAAATCAAGTAAAAAGCACTTTCAAAAACTAAAAGCTTGCTTTAGAAGTCGAGTCTGAAGTTGAAGCTGGAGTTTGCCAGAATAAAAGTATTCATATACTTTCTTATCTGCCCTAATATATTTTTAAACTCATACGAAGTTTTTGTGTTTATTTAAAACCTAGCTCTAGTTTTTGTGCAGTGGAATTTTATTTTTGTTTCGTTTGTATATTTTTCGATATTTTCTTTGGTGAACTATTTGAGTTTTTTGGAAAACAGGATCGAATATTGTTCGGAGAGTTTTGGCCTATTATTACTAATCTCTGGTTGTTGTTGTTGGCAACTTGGCCAGATTTTGCTTGCTCAACGATTCGACATCCTAGACTTAATTTAAAAAATTTTTAAATTGCAAAATTTTTAATTTGAATTTGGTTGTGCATTCCTGAGCGTAAAACTGATTACCGAACCTAAAACTGAAGAAGAACTGAGAGCTTACTACTTCAGTTTCCAACTCATAGAGGACAGCTAACCCCGTTAACAAGTCCAAGAACAAATTAAACAACACTGCTATATACAAGTGAATGATGACAGTATAAAACAAAACAAAACTGCTTGTATCAGGGTGAAGCCCTGAATGTTCCGACTACATTTTAAAGTCTTTGGAATAGCATTTGCTTTTAAAAAATGGGCGAAATGAAAACAAATTTAAAGTTTTCAGTGCAATTTTTTGAATAGCACCCCCGCATGCTATTTAAAGTAAAAAGTTATATTAATTTTGTTTTTAGCGAATTATTAAACAGACTAAGTAGCTCGCCTCAAAACAATTTGGAACCAGTTCTAAGACGAATTAAATGTCCGCTTTACGCAGTATTAGCTCGAAATATATCGCGCGCTAATTGTCCCAAATTAGCCGAACTAGTTAAACTCCCATAACTAATGAAAAGATCACAGATTAAATATATATTTTGTTACATTTGAGCTAAAAGCCACAAAATTTTTTTTTATTAAATGAAAATTAAATTTCCGTAAAAAATGGCTAAAAAAAGTCGAAACTTGTCTGGAGAAAACAACCTTCCCGAACAGAAACATTCCGTCACTTTTTCAGAAATTGGATGAACAGGTTAAGAGCTTCAATGCCACGCTAGTTATGAAATTATTTCATGGCTATTATACTGAAAAAACTTAATGCAACAGAAGAAAAATTTTTGTCAGTTGAAAAAATGTTTCAATATGACAATCGAAAAAAAAATAGTGACAAATTTATATTATCAGTCGTTCGCTTTTAGTCAACATAGCCAACAGACAGTTGGAAAAGAGACAATGTGAGCAAGTGAACAAAAAATTACTGACTTGTTGTTTTTTGAAAAAAATACACCTTTTCGAATTTCAAAGAAAAAGTTCGATAAAGAAAAAATTAGTTAAAGAAATTCCCAAAACATTTGAGAAAACTGAATCAATAAATAAAAATTTTTACTCGCTGGTCAAACTGAAAATAAAATTCCTTCTTCGAAAGTAGAAGTCTATCACGTCTTTCGTGACCTTTACATTTTTGCTGTTCAATATGGAACTCTGCCTTCCTTTTAACAAAGGAAATTAACTGAACCTAAAATCAAAAATCAAACCGCGAAAAAGTAAATCTAAGCTTGAACAACTTTTAGGAATATTCCTGAGCAAAAAAAACAAGAAAAAATCATCTTTAGAAGAGTCTGAACTTCGAGAGTTCAACAAAAAACTATACGCTCAAACAAAATTTAGCAATTGCAGAAAATAGTGTTTTAAAACTGTGTTTTAATAAGTGCGATAGAAATTTATATTAATTACATTCTTTGATAGTTAGTATCAGGATAGCACCAAAAATTTTAAATCTCGAGGTGAAAGCTTTACTACAGCAACAATTCAGAGTTTAATGCTTCAAACGTTTTTCGTATGCCATATGTTCTCATATGCAATACTTCTGAGTGTTTTTGGATGTTAACTCAAGAAATTCTCGAAGAAAGATCAAACTTATGTAGCGTGGATGCCTCCAAGTGGCTAATCCTCTGCGCTATCTACACTGATTCAATCCTTTCTGGAACAAGCTCCAATTACACTTAGAAGTATCGATAAAAAAACGGTAAGCAATATCTCGACATATCGACATAATTTTACTACTTTTTCAAAAAAAATTTTGACTCCGAATTTAGCTAACACGCTTGGAATTGAAAACTAAAAAGTGTGATATTTCCGTGCTGCTCTATAGAGTCCCAAACTTTCATGCAACAATTAAACAATTGCCGTAAATCCATCGTTGCATAGTATTCGGCACTTGTGTCAATTGGAATACAAATGTTTCTTCACATCAGCTTTCGAGCAGTCAAAAAATTGCATTTCTAGGTAATAAGTTTAGTAAAAAAGGATTGAACAGCTCACCCTAATTTTATTTTTAGATTCCAAATAAATTATGTTTATCTTATTTTCGCGAATAAAAATGGTATAAATTTCACTTCGAAAATGCTAATCGACATAAGACTTTAATTGCGTTAGTTTGCCATATTCTCAAGTACTACAAAAAAAAACCCAGAAATCGGATTTGATCATAAGTAGGACTTAAATTGATCCTATAAGCTGTTTTTTCCCAAATTTGTTTTGTACCATATTCCAGGTGGTAAGACTTTAAACAATTATCTGGTTTGTTCTTTAGCTCTGGTTTGTTCTTTAGGAGACACAGTGGCGAGAACTAATCTTCTTATTGTGAACTAGTGGAAGCTTTTTCTGTTTTTCTGACAAAATGTTTCATTGAATCTCTCCTTGAAAACAAAAGACCAAATCTACCGGAATCTCTTTGCGA